TTTATGTATATGCATGCATGAAATTTAATTAACCCTGAGAATGTGATCAATTTACACCGTGTAAAAATAAGAAGCCTTATACTCCTTTCTAATTATTAATCCACTCAATGGCAGTTTGTGAGAGGGAACAAATGAAGCAAAATTTACATTAACTTAAACAGGTAACATGAAAATGGTTTGTAGATTTGAAAAACTCTCCAATATTTTTTCATACACAAGAAATATAAGTTAGAAGGCTAAGTTTGAGGGAGGCAAACTTATACTGTCCTAGATTTCGCTTTAAGTATAAATGTATAAATGTGATCTAAGACAAATGTGATGCACGTGGGTGAGTGACTTACTTGGATTGGGCTTTTCTATAATTTATTCCATAGTTTAGGATTTTTGAATAATTGTTAATTATTTTCTTTTTTGTTATTTTTAGACTATGTTTGAGTGTGCGTTGAATGTGTTGAATGTGTGTTATTTTCTTTAATTGCGCATTATTATAGTTATTTACTTTTTATTATTTTATTTTGCTTATTTAAGGCTTGGAGAACACTATTATTATGAGGTTCTTTTTGGTTAAATAAAATTAAGAAAAGAGAATAGTGTTTTCTCGCAATTATTGTTTCGTTCTTTCTTTCTATTTAACCAATTGGTTACTGCTTCGGCATCATTTGGTATCAGAGCACTACATTGCCTTCAATCAATGGCTGAACAGAATCGTAGAGGTCATTAATGACAGAGTCATGAAGATAAGGAACGTGGAATTGTTCCCAAGGGAGACAGACAACCGCGTCAGATAGGCCCACTTAACATAGAAAATAAAGAACTCGGAAGGCGGATTCAGGATTTGAAGCACCAACTTTGGATAAAGAGCAAGCGTTGGATAAGAAAATACAAGTTTTGGAGCGACTACTTGTGCGTGCGCAGAAAGAGAATTCAAGATTTGAAGCAATGACTCGTGTGGGTATGCATGAAAATCCAAATTTTGAAGCGAACTCTTGTGAAGGCACAGAGCATGGAAATCCAATATTTGGAGCGACGACTTGCATGGACAAAGTTGAACATTCAATCAGAAGAACGAATGGAATTAGAGGACGCATCTGATGACGTAGATGATGAAGTCAATCTCTTGGGGATTCTAAACCAGGGACAGAATTGAGAAGTACGACTTGGAAATCAATCTACTTTCCAAGATATCGAGATGCAAATCAGTATTCCTGACTTTGAAGTCTATAATCATAATCCAATTTATGATGATTATCCAATCTATGATGATAATCCAATTTATGATGATTATCCAATTTACGATAATTATATGATTTATGATGATTATTTAGTTTCTGATAAATCTAATAGGAAATTAGATTATAGAAATTTAATTGAGGAAGAATTCTCATTTCAGCTTCTACCTAAAGTGATTGAGATCAGTGAGAATAAAGAAGATTCGAGGACGAATCTTTTCCTAGCAGGGAAGAATAATGCACTTAAAGTTGACTCATTACACATGGCTCAACCATTGATTCAGGAAGCCCAGAATCAACCAGAATTGTGGCCCAATAAATATGACTCAATTGTTAAAAGAAGCAATGATTTGAAATATAACAATTGATTGCGATTTGTTATATTTCAAATTATTGCTTCTTTTAATAATTGAGCCATATTTATTGGGCCACAATTCTAGTTAACTCTGAACTTACTGAATCAATGGTTGAACCATGTATAATGGACTAACTGTAAGTGGATCAAAATGTTATATGAAATTAGTCGGGGGATTTGCTCCTTTTAGTCCCTCCATGGCTCCATCATTTAATTGTTTGTATTGAATGACTTGCATAATTAATAAATTAAAATATTAAATATAAATAAAATCAACGATCAAAATTAAAAGTATAATTTATAAGAGTGGATTGTGATGTCTCTCTATATAATAGCTGGATTGTGATGTAAATTCGGAAATGGGTTCTGTCATTCCCAATAAAAGGAGAAGGCAATTAAAAGTCTTTCTACTCTTTTGGAATTCAACATATCACTCACTTGTACATTCTTAGTTTATTAGTCCCGTGATATGTATTTTTTAAATGGCTCGAATTATATATCTTGTGATATCAATATGTATATATAAATGCACACACAATAAAGTTGCTTTAGATCTCATAGGGAAAGGAATAAAATCATATGGATTTAAAGTCAAAAAAGCATATCTCAAGGGTTTTGTTTGAAGGGGCTCCACAAGGGAGGGCCCAAATATGCATAACTGCGACTTGGGAGTTCTGGGATTATGGTGAATTGTCTACAATAATATTGGCAATGTGCATGAAGTCCAAGCCATTCATTGAGCAGCTACATGCATATTTGTCAAGTGAAAGCAGTGACTGAACATGAAACTTGTATGAGTAGGTACACTAGAAATGGCCAAAAGAGCTTTTTACTCACACATTCATGGTCTCTGTCTAAATCCTCATATCTATTATTGACATTATTGGGAAATATGATGTGTAATTATCAGTTGAGATGGGACATTTGTTTCTTGAAGCAACAGTCACTTTCGGAGTTAGAAAATCACTCTAATCTTCTAAAGTTGGCACTGTTTGCCATCAGTAACAAGTTCATATATACACTGTGAACTAGACAGGAAAATTCCTCTGAACTTATCCACATTTGGCTAGCTCATCATTTCTTCATTGACAAGGCTTTTTCTTCTATAGATGATTGATGGATTAGTTCTATATTTCTGAAAATAAATTTGCATCCGTGAGTAGAAAATGACTATCAATATAACGGCAATTTTGAAAAAATGGGACAAATTTATGGAGGAAGATCAATTTCATGATTACATCATCAGCGATGATTTGTATAATTTTATTATCTACGCTATTGGAAGAAAAGTATCATCTCTATAGCAACATTTTTCCAGCTTAGACAGTCACAGGGATATTTGCTCTGTCAAGGGGCATAAATAACTAAAACTAGCTAGCAATTCATATCTCATATATATGTTGGAAATTTGGCATAGAGTAGCTTAATATTTCAATTTGCACACTTGATTGTATTTTTCATTAAATATGGACAAACAAAAATTTGAATTAATTATGATTTTGACATTAATTCTTGGAGAAGGTTATATTTATAAACTTTTTATTTACAAATTCTTATAAACTACACTATATCTGACCGGTAATACACTCTTGAGTAAAGTATTATCGGTAATACGTAGTGTAGTTTATAAGTTTGTAAAAAAAAAATTGTCAATATAACCCTACTGTTAATTCTTAGACATGAATAAATTTAGTCCACCAGGCCAAGACTCCAAGCACACACTAGAGAACAAATAAAACTAGAAAATCTTGAAGCATACCTAATGTCAACTACATCATGAATTAGCAAATAGAAATGCAAAATGAAGTGTGTCAAGTAAATACACAATTCTACACATCCACATCACTTTATAGGTATATAATTCTGACCATTTAATTATAATTAAATTCCCTTAAGTTTTCACAATCTTAAACTATATATATATATATATATATATATATATATATATATATATATATATATATATATATATATATATATATACAGGGTAAAGAATTTTTCCAGTGAGCTCAAAATGATGTCGTTTTGGGGCGAAAATCAAGGTATTTTTGTAATTATAATATATTGCAGAGTTATATTAATCTTTGTCATTATAACTTTTTAATTTTATAACCAAAACGACGTCGTTTTGAGCTCACTGGAGATAATTTTATTTCCAGTGACCGGAGAAATACTTTTCTCATATATATATATATATATATATATATATATATATATATATAGGGAAAATATACTCTTATGTTGTAGGAGAGAATTTTTCTCTCCTACACATACATCGATTTTCGTGTTACTTTTTTATTCTTTTATTCTTTTTCTATAATGGGTGAGTCTTACACATGATTATCTCTATTGCATGAGAGAGTTCTCTCATATTGCATGAGATTAATAAAGTCTATATATATATATATATATATATATAGATAGGGTTTTATAATTTTCATTTAACATGAGAATTACAATTTTCCTACACACCCTTCGATTTCCGTGCTGACATAGGTCCTACATATAATTTTTTGTAACACATGGGTCCCACATACTTTTTATCTCTACAACATGAGATTTCAATTCTCCCTCGACATGAGAATTATAAAATCCATATATATATATATATATATATATATATCTTCTAACTGATATGAAATGATGTAGGTTGCATAGATTTACAAGAACCATTATCTAATATAATTTACTGGGATACACTTTTTTCATCCATACCCAACATGTAATTATTAATTGGCCCATGCTTGGTTTTGTTTTAAGCATTTATTTTCTTTTCATCTATTTTCCACAAGCAGCCAAAGAGACGAACTTACATTTGTTACCCATATGAATGAGGTGAACAAAGAAATTCAGAAAATCACTACAGAACAATAGGAAAATTCTGGGAGAACTTGCAAACACTCCAATATAAACAACGATAATTGATTACAAGTAGAGCACAAACCCCCAACTGATTATCATATCATGTCATTATCGTATGCAGCTAAACAGATGAACGTCAAATCAACTCTTAACCAAAACGGCGTTCCGTTTCATAACCCCCCTCCCTTCTTTCCCTGTCAGAAAATACTCAATAGCAAGGTCGTGTCAGAACCTCATTGGTTACATCACGCAAAGAAAGAAAATGCCATAACCATAGCATTAAATGATGGTAGCGCTTCTCCCAACAACTTCTGCACCCTCATTTAATGCATGGCAGACACAACACCACCATGCCATCATCATCAAAACTCCACCCCTCTCACATTCAAAAATTTCACAATACCCTCACAATGCAGCGCGTGGATATCAATCACTATAATCTCTCAATAATTTATCTCATATAACATATTAAAAAAAAATAAAAGATTCACCCACTTATCTATTGCATGAAACAAACATAAAAAATATATTTCCCAAAATTATAACCCATCGTCACATGCTCATCAAATAGCAAGAGCGAAATTTTTACATAACAAACTAAAAACTCCACCAATTCCAATACAAGTTAAAATAACATTTTAATAAATACTAATAAATACCTTATTATTTTTAATTTTTATTTTTCACATTCCTCTATTCCTTTCTTGTTTTCCAGCTAGTGGAGCAAACATGAGGTCAACGCGAGTCAATACCCGAACCACCACCCTTGCCTTGTGGTAAGAACCCGACTCGACCCGACGGATTTGGATCCTTACCACCATGCAAGGAGTTTTCTTTTTTTTTTTCATGCGCGGTTCGTTCTTGACTCAAACACCCCTCTTTCTCCAATCTTCAAAACCCACTTCCACGCGTCTTTCACACGCTTTTAACTTTCGTGAACAGACATTCCCAAAAATTTAAAAAGGAAAAAATAATTCAAGAGTGCCCCAACGGTTCACGTGACCTGAAGATCATGATCACGTGACAGTCAGCTCTCACATTGAAGAGCGGCTTTGATCTTCTGAACCGTGCAGGAGATGAGGTTGTTCACCGTCTCCACTGACTCCACCGTGAGCTTGGCCGTTGGGAGACTATTCACAAGTATCTGAAACGCCACCGTCAGAAGGGACCCACTCACACGCGCCCCACCACCGCCGTTGGCGGTTGCCCCATTCTGCGGCCCACGTGACCCAGGCCCATCAGGAACAATAGCAAACCCTGACGGCAACAACGCCACGTAAGCCGAATCACCACCGTTCATGACCACGTGCATGGCAGGAATATCCACCGGCGCGTACACCACAAGCGACCCCGCCGCGTCTATGCATGTCTCCTGCAGTATCAACATGCTACTCTGGTTCGAATTGATCGCCTGCAAAATCAAACACAATTAAAAAAATAATAAACTAAAAACACATATTAAGACTAAATTCTAACCGTCTAGTCATTTTCGTAGACTGAGCTAAGCTAGTCAAACCCTGGCACCACCTTTTCTCATTTTTTGCCATTTTCATAAAATTAAAAAAAAAATAATAATAAAAAAAGAATGAGATCAGAAACCCACAAAGGTAACAATCGTCCTATACTTTGACTTATTATAAAAACCTAATTTACTTATTCATCAAAATTTGCCCTCATTGATACTTCCAAATTTCCAATCCTTGTCCTTCACAACTTTTCAACCTTTCTCATCCAAATACTACACGACAAACAAATCCTCATCCACCGTTCAAAATTTGTCTCGAGCCTACTACCTAAATGTTCACATTTCTTCTGTACAATTGTGTATAAATTAAATATTAATGAATTAATATCCGTTACTAACTTATTAATAACATTTTACTAGTATATTAATTAAATTATATATTTTTGTTAACATTTCTTTCATATTAAGAAAGCATACACATACACTGGCTCGCAGGAGAGAGACGCAGTTCCCATGGTCTTGTCCCTTAGCAATGTGGGCCATCTCTTGCATGGGACCACCGTTGGAGAGTATGTCCCACTCGCTTCGGAGCCTCTCGTCACGTAGGAAATCAAAGAGTCTTTGGGGTGAAACTGGGAGCCACACCGACGTGGCGGCGCTCAGCACAATCCCCGGTGGCTCACCGGGATCGTCCACGCTCTTCCGGGTCATCACCCTCACATCTTCCTCCACGTTCCCGGCGTTCAGCTTGTTCCATTTGTGCACCGTCGATGCACAAACCCCTGCACAAAAGTTGTTCGTCATACGTTGTGCCAGCTTCAACATGCTTCGCCTTCCACCCGCCGTTATTGCTGTCCCAAACAACCACAAGTTAATTGTTTAGTTTAGTTAGTTCTAATGATGCATAATAGTTCTAATGATGCATAATGAAAGAATTTCAATATTTCATGCATGATAAGATTTTACAATAATGTTCGCATTACACCAAGAGTTCTATTTTTTATTTTTATATGATTTTGGGTCTTACACTCAATACAATTTATTAATCACATATGGATATAATGACTCAAAGTACCTAATAACTTAGGACCACTCACGTGACTAACAATAACTTAGACAAGTAAGATTAATAAGTAATAACTAATGTTATGGAGAATTTTGGTGCACTTGTAGTTCTGGATTAATCAAGTAATTAATAAATCGGTGGAGAAATAAAAAAATTAAAAAAAAATAAAAATTATCAAAGTCACTAGGTTAGCCTAGTGGCGAAAGATGAGTGTTAGATGATGTGTGTTCTAATTCTTCTTCATGTATTCAAAAAAAAAAAAAACATTAATGTAACCTATCATTCAAACATGTAATCTATGAGAGGTACCAGAATGGTCACGAGAGGGTGCTGCGGAGGACATTAAGATGGCAAGGCACTCGCATTGGCGTTGTAGGGTAGCGACCCAGCGTAGGGCACCGAAGCCAATGCCTGAGCTCAACAAGGGTCTATAGAGCTGGTGGACTTGGCTTTCATCGTATTCAGCATGTTCCACCCATGTCACCTGCAAATTAATGCAAAACCCTGTGTCATGCTAAGCTTCCTAACTTTAAGTGCAACAAATCTCTTAAATATTATTATTGCTTTCATATTTATTATTATTATTATTGAAATATTGAGTTCCGAATTAAGTACTAGAGTTTTAGGTAGAGAAGTTTCTTTTATTGTTTATGCCTTCATTAGGTATGAAAGACGATGACACAAAAAATATGAAAAAAGAAAAGCTTGGATAAGCATGAAGACAAAGGTATCTCATGGACCAAGTACATAAAATATTGGTACTAGATAAAAGTCAAGCAAGATTTACAAGAGCCACGGGCATTGTGAGCATCGAGATTTGCTATATCAAAGTGTGATGTAACTAACCCCAAAACAAAATACTAAGAAGAAACAGACAAAATAGCCAGTCTCTGAATTTTGACTCCAAGGGTTTGGATTAAATATTATATATATACAGACCTACACATGATAGGAATTGAACTAGGCCATATTCAATCTCGAGAATAAAATAATGCTTGGGGATTGGAATAGAAACATCATACACATAGTTTATAGAATCAAAAAGTACGGGGAAGATTACAAGGCAAATTTTGTTTACGAATGGATATGAAATTAATGTTTTCAAGGTACAGAAATTTAAGTTATAGAGGCTTCTATGGATAAATTAATGGATTATTCTAGACTTTATACCACATGGGGGGGAGTTATTCAAATAGTTTATGGGATTAAAGATCTACTGTTGAAAACTTCAGTTTGGAAAATAATTGTTAAATTGAGACAAGAAGAAGCACCCTACACAGGTGCAATGCAATTGTGCAATTTCTTCGAAAAGAGGAAAATATTTGGTATGGGAATTATCACTGACAGAATAGTTAAATAGTGAATAGTCACTAGACTAGCTAAGTTACTTTGAACAAGGAGCTCTTAAATGGCTTGGAAAAGCAAAAGCTCCGTGATTCCTTGGCCTGGTCTTTTGCTACGCTTGAATATTCTTCTACTCAGTTCTTATGCTACGGTTACTTGAACAAAGGTAATTAAAATCCAAAGAGCACCCACTTGGGAACTTATAATAAATTTAAGAAAAACATGAAAGCAAGTGAGATATAGTATATAGTGTGGTAAGTTCAGTAGCTGCATGGTGAATAGTACCTATATATATGGATAGGAAAACTGTTCAGAACCCAACGTGTGGAGGAATGTAAATCATTTTTACTATACTCAAATATTTGGAAAGTAGAAAACCTGTGGGAACATAAAAACACTCCCAACACTAATAACCAGAAAGAGCATTTGCAATTTTTACCTTGGAGTAACCATTAGGCATATCTTGCACCAAACAACCAGAAGGAAGCCTCCTACAGTTCACAAAACTCGATGCCCCTGAAGTTTCTCTGATAGTATCTATGGACACATCTACCACAGCCCACACCCCTTCTGCATGCTGCTTGCAAAAGCGTAAGAAATTGACCTCACGAACCGGAACCAAAGGTGAAAGAACTTGAAGTTCAGCATGCATCTGACCACAAATTTTTTGGGGTCAAAAAACAAAAGTCTCACCATTTTTCCCCTTACCAGAAAAAAAGAAAAAAGAGAAAGGCTTTCTACAATTAATATATAGAGTGCAACACGACAACTTGAACTTACTAGTTGAAGTGCACCATTTCTGGTTCCGTTTATTCCATTAGATATCACTTCAGTTGTGGAGGTTCTTGCAATCATACAAGGAAACATCTCTGCCCATCGATTCTGTATATTTTTTTAACCATCCATATACTCATCAAAGACTAAATAACTTCGAGAATAAGCAAAGAACCAGAGAAGACATTTAATAAAAAGAAAAAAACTTGAAGAAAAGGGAATTCCTAATAAAATTGCTTACCGGGTCCATAAGAGTTTCAACAAGAGCCAGGCTGTTTATGATGACCATTCCAGTTTCTCTAGAGGCCTCAGAAACAAAACCATTAGGTCTCAAACCAATGCAAGGAGTGAATGTCCTCATGTATTCCTCATGGTTCATAATTTCCCTTCCCCCTTCAATACTCCTAATCCACAGAGGCTCACCAGTTTGTGCCATCTTAACCAACTCATCCATTGCAGCCAAAGCAAGCTCAAGAAACATAGACCTCTCCACTGATCTATCAAAGCCGGTCACCGTAGCGGCCGATGGTCTAGTTGGAGGAGACACCATGGCTAAATGGTTAGACATCCCCACCCCAAAATCAGGCCCCAAAGGCAATGTTGCAGACACACTGTTCATCCCTCCAAAACCATTGCCCCCAACACCAAGCTCCAAACTTGAATTTGGCAATGGAGGAGTGATTGAGTTTGTCAATGAAGAAATGGGGCGACCCAAAAACTTGCCCGCAAGTGCACAAACTCGGTCTAGCTCATCCTTCAACCGAGCATTCTCAATCCGAAGATGCTGTTCCTCAAGTGAAATCTCACCAATAATAGCTGGACCCCCACAATTTGAACACATAGGATTCCTCATAGCGTCCCTAATAGACATGTTCTCAGCTCTAAGCTTATCATTCTCTTGCCTAAGCAACGTGTTCTCATGGCGCTCCAATTGGGTCTGGTACAATTGCACAAACAACAACAGAAAAGAAAAAAAAAAGTTTCATGGTCCATCACAAAACCTTAAAAAGAAGGAAAAAGCAATGTGAAAATGACTTGTTAGAGAATATGCAGTGTGTCATACCTTCATTTGGGTTCTACGATTTTGGAACCAAAACTTCACTTGCCTCGTTTCCAAGCAAAGCCTTTTGCTAAGTTCCAGTCTTTGTTTCTCATCTGGGTGAGGACACTCCTTAAACAACCTAAAACCAAGAAGAAAAAACATTCATTTAGAATCTAAATAAGTATTAAAAAACACATGCACACAAATTATAGAAGAAATATACGATTCAAGCTCTTGTATCTGTTGAGGAGTGTGTCGGTGATAACGCTTCTTCCTTGGAGGGTTGTCGGCAGCATCTTGTTCATCACCAGAACCACCATCCATGTTATCACTGCCAGATCTGCTTTCATGTTCTTCTTCTCTGCTCCTTCTCAAACCATTTGGCTCAAAATTCTCGGGCATTCTATTCACATCTTCATGTCCATCTATATTTGTTTGCTGCTTTTATTTATTCAAACACAACAAAAAGTAAACAAAATAAGCAAACAGTAAAAGTAGCCAGAGCCTAAAAGCAGAGAGGACGAACTAATAAAGCATCAAGATCTCTCACAAGTGCAAGAGACAACCCAGAAGAGTTGAACATGGATTTAGCCAAAGTGGGAGTAGTCACTAGGCGTGGCTGTGAGATTGTTCCAAAGGGCATTCTATCGTTGTTGTTGTTGTTGTGGTTGGTAGTGGTACCGTTGTTGTAAGGAATATCTGCTATGTTTCTAGCACCTCCACTACCTGAGTTGCTGTTTGAAAAACCCCCAAAACTCATCAAAGAAGCCACTTTTCTCTTGGATAAAAGCACCCTCAAAAAGTCCAAAACTTGTTCCTATTTCTTCTCCTATGTCACTTATTCACCAATTAGCTTCATCCATGAACATTTAGGTGCCAATTCACCAACCCCAATTCTCAAACCAAAGAGAGTGCTTCAAAAGATGAACTTGGTATCTCAGAAACAACCTTATATACTTGAGAGGTCAATCAAAGATGAACCTTTCAAACTACGGCGAAAAAAAAAAAGAAGACAGAGAGATAGAGGAGACAAAAGGATAAATACCCAATGTCTCAGCTCTCTCTCTATCTGTAGCCAAAAAAAAAAAAGATCACTTTTTTTTTTAATTTTCTTCTATTATTTGGAGAAAAGAAAGAGAAAGAAGGCCTAAAAAAAAACCCTTTTATTATAATTTGGCTCTTCGTTCTCTATCCCTCTCTCACTCTCTCACTGACCCTTTGGAGAGTAGCACTCTTTGAAACCCAGACCCAGTTCAGGTATGGCTTGAATACATTGACTTTGGGTTAAATGGAAAAGGAAGGAGGAACCCTACTGTGTGGTATATCGTTGTCTGCATGCTTGTCTACAGTAAAACTTCGAAGGAAGCGCAAAAAAAATAAATAAATAAATAAAAAAGCAACATCATATGGTTAAAGAAAAGGGTTAGGATTTTGGGAAAATGAAATGGTTATAGATTTTGGAACAGGGAAGAAAGAGAGAGACAGAGAATGGAGAAAAAGGTGAAGATAAAATGCAACATGTGGACTCTTGGAAGCCTTACAAATAGATACATCCAAAAAGGGTCGGTTGACTCTTAACACTGTGATTGCTCTTTTTTCTCTCTCTCTATCTGTCTTTAACTTTTCTCGATATCCTTATAAAGCCTGTGACTGACTGTGAAAAATTGCAATGTGCCTTTTTTATAACTTTTTGTGGGATATGAAAAGTAAACCAAGTTACAATGATGGATGCTTCACCTTCAGATCCATGGGTTGGGGTTCTTTCTTAGAAATCTGAATCCTTCTTCCGCAGTCCTTCTTGGAATTCTCAATTATTGGACTAAGTATACTCAGACCACTCCTACGAGATACGAATGTCATAGTTTTTATGTTGAAATAAAGTTTCATAAAACTTTTAATTATACACGTCACATGTTAATTTATTCACTTGACATTTAGTTGGTTTAACTTATTTGCATTTTTGGTCTCTCTACTTTTGGCTATGTGTAATTCTGATCTCCTAATTATTATTTTAAATATTTAAATTAAACAAATCAAATCTTTTCATTAAATTCACATCCAGTTGGTAACGGAAGTAGCTGATGAACACGCACGTTTTTCAGTCATGGGATAGGAGCTTAATTACTTGGATTTAGGGTGATATCTTTTAACATGACAAAAAAAAAAAAATCATATTCGTGTTAACTTGTTTTCAAATACGTATTCAGGTTGATAAAATTAGATATGCAAAATTTGTATCGTGTCAACCTGTCAATTTGCAATTGATCCATATTAATTTTCTTATAAATTATTTGTGTCATATCGTGTTATAAAGAAGTTATTTGTGTCTTATCGTATTGTCAACTCATATAATAAGTAATATAGTTAGGGATTGACAGATTATTTGTATCGTATTGTATGATGTCAATTTGCATAATAAGTGACATACTATGAATTTGCGGATTATTCATGTAGTGTCAGTCAATTGACAAAATAAGTAGATCGTATTCGTGTCGAAAGTTTTGACTCAATTTCAAATTCATATCATATTTATGTTAGATATATTTTTATTTGTGTATTGTGGCGAATTGCCACCCCATTTATGCCTTCATTGGGGTCACGTGCATAGCACGTGAGAACCCAACTCCTCTCCTAACGTGCAAAATACGAGAGTTCCTCAAATTTCATTGAGCATTTTGCGTTGCTTCAATATTTGGAATCGTGTGTTGAATCCTTTGTTAGTGGTGGTGTTGCTTCATTGATGATAGTGTTCTAGACTTCTAGTGGCTGTGGTAAAGGAGGTAAATGGGCTAGGCTGGCTTACAGAGTCTACGGCCTATCCTATATCAGGCTAGATTTGGTCTATTACAAACTATGATGCATGGACACTGACACAGGACACAGGACACGACACGACACGACACGACACGACACGCCGACACGTTAATTTTAAAAAATGACATATTTCGACACGTTGAGACACGTTTTGATATTAAATAATATTTTTAATATATAATATAATTTATATTTAATAGATATAACAGTCCATAATAAGTCATATAACCAATCATATATTCAAATTTCATAACATAAATATAAACAAAAATAATTTTTCGTACCTTGTTAATTTTTCATGTCAAATTTCATAACAGAAAAAATTTGATTTATAATTTTTTTTTTATTTATTAAAATAAAATTAAGACAAAAAAAAATGTGTCCGAGCGTTGACCACGTGTTCGAAAAAGTTGACTGCGTGTCAGAGAGTTGACCACGTGTCCTAAAATGTTGATCGGGTGTCGGACGCATGTCAGAATGTGTCGGAGCGTGTCCGTGTCGGACACGTGTCCGACACGCCCTTTTTCTAAAAAGTTGTGTGTCCGGGTATTGGAGATTACAAATAATAAAATATAACAGGCCTATACTTTTAAAAAAAAATATTTAGAAAATAGGTCATAGACTTTTTTGTACATGTCGGCCCTATAAGCCTATAGGTCGGCCTATATCATATTATTTATTTAAAATAAAAATTTTAATAAAATTAGTATTTTAATAATTTTGAATAATAAACTAATATTATTTTAGTTATTCTTTTAATTATTGAATGTTTAATAGGATTAAACAGGCTGATAAGCTTAAGCCAATGCTTTTATTTTTTAAATATAGGTCAGTCCAAACTTGTAATATAGAGCCTACATAGGGGTGTGCAAAATAACCAAAAAACTGAACTGAACCGAACCGAACCTCCCCTTAAAATAATCGGTTTTTAAAAACTAGTTCATGAACCGAACCTATTTTTAAAGAAACAGTTCATGAACCGAATCGATTTTTAGAACCAGTTTAAGAATCGAACCATTTTGAACCGAACCGAACTGTTTCCGAACCGAACCGAACCATTTTCAAACCGAACCAAATTGATTTTTATAACTTTATTTTTTAAATTTTAAATTTTTTTCTTTTCAAAAAAGGGTCGACCCGAACCGGTTCCGAACCGAACCGTCTCCGAACCGAACCGTTTCCGAACCGATTTCAATTGAACCGAACCACTTCCGAACCGAAATATTTAAACCAATTCGATTCGGTTTTTCAAAAAAAATTGGTTCAATTCGACCCATGCACATCCTTAGACCTACACAAGCTAGTAGGCCAGGTTAGACATAAATTTTTTTATATAAACTTAGCCTATTTAAATCAAAGCATACTCTACCGCACCAATTTACACGCCTAATTTACACGCCTAGGTGGTTGTAGGAAGATAAATGGGGGTGGTTAACTTCGGTATTTGGGAATGTGTTTTGGGATTGAAATTGCCATTTGTTGGTACTCATTATCGTTGATCATTAGGAAAATGGCAATATATATATTGGTTGTAACTATTTAGATTTCCGTATATGAATAAAAAACCACAAAAAATCATGACCTTTCAGTTATAAAGGAACAGTTTTATCACTACTCCAGTTTTGCCCTTTTTATGAAATCATAAAAAATGTATGGAATGAATGAATGAAAAAAAATGTATGCAATGAATGAATGAAAAAAAAATGTATGCAATCAGTTTATGAAGTACATTATTTATCTTCTCGGCTCTCACATACTTGTAGCTGACTGTATTAAGTCATCGTCCTGTTTCAATGAAAATTAATTGAATAACTAGTATATCAGAACACATGCTCATTTGCCAGTTGCAAATGGATATGAAAAGGTTGTAAAAAATTTTGTTAAATCCGATCCGGTTGGGATATTGGGTCATTGGATTACTGATCGAACTGATTGACTTGGATATATATAGATATATAAAATATAAATATGAACATATAAATTCAATTATATTCTTCACATATAAAACGAATTAAACAAGGTTCACTAAATAAGATAAAAAAATGAAGCATAAATAAATAAAAATGCGCACTATTACTATGTCAATTTAAATTGTAACTCAAAATTCTCATAAACATACCTCTCAATGACATTGAACTCATATTTTTCAAATTCAACTACATTAAAATGACATATGTCACATTCTCTTAATTTATTATTCTACAAATTGCTTCAATATTCGGAACTGAAATTTGATGTCATTGTAGAAGAATATATTAGCAAATAAAATTACAAAAACTTTTTAAAATGAGTTCTAACTTTTTTCTGATAAATGAAACAATTTTAGTTTTTTTGTTTTTTTTGTTTTAAAAAAATGCATGACCCGATCGAGTCACGAGTCACTGGATCACCGGTTTTGACCGAATTTGGCCGGTTTTGTCCGAATTTGACCGAGTCGATGCATGACCGGTCCAGTGCTTGACGCGAACCGATCCGTTACCGGTTCGCCGGGTTCTGGGTCGGGCCGAATTTTATGAAAAAGATTGTTGGCATAAAAAGTTAATATAAAATGATGATGATATGAATAGCACCACCAAATTCTTAAAATTCGTACAGTTGAGTGGTGGAATAAAATATCACAATATTTAAAATATATATTATATTTTTAATATATTAGAATAAAAATAATCATAAAATAATTATTTATATAAATAAGTGTTTGATAAATAAAAAATTAATATATTTATAATTGACATGTTAGTTTATAAATATATTTGTTTTTATTATAGCCCGTGAGTCATTTTTTGTGACTCAGACTTGAACAATGATCAATCGTAACCGGCAAGTCCACTTTATTCATACATTGAGGAAGGCCTATTGCTGCGCCGATTACCTAACGAACCTCTTTCTAGATCGCAAGATATGGATGCTGATTTTGTCTTCTTATTATCTCCTTGTAGATTACTCTTGTTTTTCCGTGCGAACTCATTAGCCACTCCTCGAATTAAGGATGTCAATTGATTCTTTTTATTTTATTTTAAGATATTCTAATCGGTCTATCGCTTCGCGACTAGTTCGATTCAGGGTGGGTTCGATATTAAGACTTTAAACTCTTCCCAAAGATGATATAGGAGGTTGATTATTTTCTTTTGATTTTCTGTTTTTAGTTTTTCTTTATGTATCAAAAAAAAATTTGTTTTTTGTTTAGTGAGGTACAAATTATTTAAATTTTGAGTACTAAAATTTTATAATATTATTTTTGTTTTCTATTTTGATTATGTGATTCGTATCAACTATCCCAGGAGAAGATAGTGTAATTTGTAAAAATTTATCAAAAAAGTTTGTAAACGGATCCTTCCCCTATATATATATATATATATATATATATATATATATATATATATATATATATATAAAGGGAAAAATATTTATGCAGAATGCAGATAAGTTATTTGAATTTATTCCCAAAACGATGTCGTTTTGGTATTGAAATCTTAAAAAATTATAAATATAAAGATTACTATAACTCTGAAATAAATTAAAATTACAAAAACACCATG